GGCAGTGTTGTTGGTTTTCAAGACTATTGGAGAGCTGGGGAGAGGAAGAAGAGAACAGGGCAAGTTAAAACACCACAAAGTTGCTGCTCACTCTTTTTATCTAGATATAGCCAATTTTCTTGAGTAAATGCTTCTTGAATTATTGAAGTCTTTTGTTAATTTCCAGAGTTCAGAAAAAGTTATTTATTTATTTGAGATAGAGTCTTACTCTGTCACCCAGGCTGGAGTGCAGTGGCACGATCTCGGCTCACTGCAACCTCTGTCTCCAGGTTCAAGTGATTCTCATGCCTCAGCCTCCTGAGTAGCTGGAATTACAGGCATGCACCACCACACCCAGCTAATTTTTGTATTTTTAGTAGAGACAGAGTTTCACCATATTGGCCAGGCTGGTCTCAAACTCCTGACTTCAAGTGATCTGCCTGCCTCAGCCTCCCAAAGTGCATGCAGGGATTATAGGCATGAGCCACTGTTGTGGGCAAGAAGTTATTTTGACAATTTTTCTGGCCAGTGTTGTCCTTGCCTTTACGAAGAGGTGGTTTTTGATTGTTATGCTGCTATTCTCACTGACCTCATTCATTCTATTCTGTCATGCCTCAGTCAACCTGCATCTTAGAGCACAGCCTCTTCATCATTTCCCACAAAATCCAATTACAGCAAGTAATTAATTTTAATAGACTTTATCTGAGTCTATTCGAATAATTGACAGATAAAGTTCCATTTTTTTTTTTTGTATGTTACTTTTTGCCATCTTGGGGGTTTTACCATTTTTTCCCATTACTTATCTCCTACCCCATCTCCAGATGCCTCTCCCTGTACTAATAAGCCTATTCTTTTTTCTTTGAATCCTACTTGGTATTATTTTCTTCTCTAATCACTGTCCTAAACCAATGAAATTCTCTTAGAACTTTGGAGGAATTCAAATGAATTAGAATTATGTTTTGTTATATATATTATATTTAAGTCCTAGGTAAGTTGGCTATAGATCATTTCAATGTGTTTTTAAGCTATACAACAACATTTTGGCTGGCTGCTGTTTGTGAAATCACCAACATCTTCATCCTTTTTATTTCTTCGTCTCTCCACATCTGAATTAGTTTTTCTCCTTTCATAAATGAGACCTATATTTTTGTAACTTGTAGAGAGGAGAGAAAATTTGGGTGAGTAAAGAGGCTAAGGTGAAGATAAGAAAATAGTCAAGGAGGAAGGCATACCATCTGTTTTCCTTATACTGATTTTGAGCCCCCTGTAGAGGCAGAAGTTTAGAGATAGAAGTGGATTGAAATATGTTCAAAAGGAACTTGTGTGGTGTACAGAAAATACACACTCTATTCCAGCACTAATGGGGTATTCTAAAAAATTGGGCTTGAATTAGGTTATAAAGGAAGCCTCAATAATGGAGACATTGTAGCTGCATTTCCTTTTGGTCAGAAGGATGACAGGGATAGCCATTATCAGTGCTACTCTTCATTTTCCTCCAGTGGTACGTTTACAGATGTATCCTTTAGTGTATACATTAGATGATACCATTTGGAATTCGTCCCCACTCAAATGTTGAAATGTAATCCCCAGTGCTGGAGTTGGGCCTGGTGGGATGTGTTTGGATCTTGGGTAGTGGGGTGATCCCTAATGGCTTAGTGTTTTCTTTGTGATAATAAGTTCTTGTGAGGTCTGGTCATTTAAAAGTGTGTGGCCCCGCATTCCCAATTTGCTCCTGCTTTTGCCATGTGATGCACCTGCTGCTCCTTTGCCTTCTACCATGACTGTAAGTTTCCTGAGGCCTCCCTAGAAGCTGAGCAGATGACATCATACTTCCTGTAAAGCCTGCAGAACGGTGAGTCAATCAAACCTCTTTTCTTTGTAAGTTACCCACTGTCAGGTACTTCTTTATGGCAACAAAAGAAAAGGCTAATATAGTAGGGATCATGCCTAGCACTTTTTGGGCAGCAATAGAAGGACTTTGTATATGCAGTACTGAGTGTTCTTGTTGTTGGCTGAGTGAATTTGTAGTGTTGTGCTGAGTAGTATGAGATTTGATTGATTAGATAATTCTGGTACTGTGCATAAACATTGTTTTTGGTTGTATAGCATTGAATTCTCATTGCCTAGCTCTGCTGGAGAGTCTGTGATCTACTTAATATATCTTAATATCTTCCTTTTTTGCTTAAATCAGGTGAGTCGATTTTATTAAATTACATCTGAATATTTGACTGATAGAAAAGGGATCTTGCTAAAGCCAAGATAGTAAAAATAGTATATAGTAGTGTGGCTGAATGGAACAATAAGATAAACATAAAACTCAGGAAGTTCAGTAGGTAACTTTGTGAATCAAATTCATAGGTAACTCTAACATCTATATGGCGATGATGTCACAAATCTGTGGGGAATTGTGGATTATTTAGTATGTTGTGCTGTTACAACTGTCCTTCTCTATGGAGAAAAATAAAGTAGCTGGGTCTTCTACAGATGTAAATTTTGGATGAATTAAAACCTAAATGTAAAAGACACATCTACAGAGATAATAAATACACTGTAAGAAAATGTATTTGTGGCTTTGGGGTAAAGAATGATTTCTAAATCAAGATCCCTAAAACTCAATAAGGTAAAAATAAATGGTAATGTTGATTCCTTCAAAATTAAGGATTTCCGTTAAAAAAAGACATCACAGAAAAAGCTTATAAACTAGGACCATATTAGAAAAAGGTACTTGTGATTTGGGATACATCAAAAAATTAATATATGAGAAACTCTTATGATTTACTGAGAAAAACTAGAGGTTTAATTTCAAAGTGGAAAATCATTTGTATAGACAACATGGGAAAGGGAAATACAAATGGCCCAATTTGACTAATAATTAGAGTAATGCAAGTTGAGATTCCATACTCAGTAGATTGATAAAAGTAGATAGATTTATAATACTAAGAGCTGTTGAGGTTATCGAAAGACTGGAATGCTCATGCACTGGTGGTAGAAGTGTAAGTGGCTATAGCTACTTTCAGTCATGACCTTAGTGAAATCGAGTATGTGTATGTACTATGACTGAACAATACTTGCTGTGTACGTATGCCAAAGAAATTCTCACATAGTAAATAGGTGAAATGTAAATAATATGTTAATTGCTGTGTTTGCAGGAGTTAGAGGTAGCCTATAATTCCATCACTAGGGGATTGCCTAAGTAAGTGTGGTGCATGCTGAAATACTGTGCAGCTGTTACTTTGAACCAAAAGTATATAACCAGTATCTAAAAAGAATTTTAAGTTATCTATAGCTCCATATTACTTGGCTTCAGTAAGAAGCTGCTTGAAGGCTTAGTCAGCTTACTTGTAAAATTGTATCATTTTTGTGTTCCCCTCTGTGTTTTGGTTGTCAGAAATTTCAGAGCTCAAATTAATCATAGTAGCTATTTTAGTCCTTCCACTAAATGTCTTTGTGACCACTTCCCTTGGATTGTTCTATCCTCATTTTAGAGCCATATTGGAATTCTGTATTTTAATTGGAAGATTTTGAGATTATAAATAGAAATAAAAGGTTTCTGTTTGACCTAAACAATCATCTTACTATTTTATTTTATTTTATTTTTGACAGAGTCTTGTTCTGTTGCCCAGGCTGGAGTGAAGTGGCTTGATCTTGTCTCACTGCAACCTCCACCCCCACCGGGTTCAAGCAGTTCTCTTGCCTCAGCCTCCTGAGTAGCTGGAATTACAGGCACCTGCCACCATGCCTGGCTAATTTTTACGTTTTTAGTAGAGACAGGATTTCGCAATGTTGGCCAGGCTGGTCTCAAACTCCTGACCTCAGGTGATCCACCCATCTTGGCCTCCCAAAGTGTTGGGATTACAGGCATGAGCCATTGCTCCCAGCCCATCTTATCATTATTAAGGACTGTCTCATTAATAAAAGAAAAGAGGAAATCTCTGACCTAGGAGACTATTAAAGAAAGGAAAGGGGATGCATAAAGCAACCATCTGAAGATGGGAAGAGACAGTATGTTGCTCCATGGAAGCATGTGATGAATAGCCACTCACCTGAATGAAGAACATCTTTTAGTAATCAGAAGGCTTTCCCAAAAGGCAGTTATTTCCTCTGGATAGCCTTCATATACCTAAGGACATTGGGTAATGATGAGGAACTTTAACAAAAGCAAAGGACATGAAATCTCTTAAAGATACGAGAAGCTGTGAATACTTTTCTTAGAGGGTGCATGGGGAAAATTATTTTTCATCAGTTCCCATGTAGTCCACTAGGTGGTGGAGGTTACATAAAAACTACTGTGTAAACACTGAATTGCTACAAACTGTGTTTCCTCTTCTTTTTCAAGTAAAAGCCCAAGGGAACCTATACAATATAATAAAAGCTGAAGGGAGAACTCTGTAGTAAGCCAGAGTTATTATAGTAATAACAGTAGCAGTGTCAGGCTGCAAAATGAGGATGGGTACCACACCAAAAGAGATTGTCTCCAAATGTGTTTTTGTTTCTTTTGTTTACAGAAAAGTACAACTGACATTTTTTCCCCATGTTTGTTCCAAAGATCACCTTGAATGAGTCAAATTTTGATTAGTATTTTTACACAGTAACTTTTGTACCTTAAAAAGTTCATTTCTTATCTACTGCGGTTACTAATATTTCATGCTCATTGTTTAAACACATTAGCAGGTCATCATGTCATATGTGATGGGATTTAGCCTACTTTTTGTGTGAATATATCACTTTAATTTGAATGATAAAGCAGTGCCCGATTAATTATGTGACTCCTAATACCCTTAGAGAAGAAAGGAAGCTCCTTGAATACTAAATTTTTACAACCACAGTGACCTTATAAAGAGTGCATTCCTTTTAAGATTAATTTCTCAGAACAAAGCACAGTGAAGTCATTGCTAAGCAGCCTCACAACTGCTTAGCAATCCTTCTAAAGGTTGTAGATTCTGGATGATGATGTCACTGACACAGAATAAAAATGCAAAACAGGTAGTCTTAAATAAGCTTTCTGGTGAGACCAGCTGCATATGGCCATGGCTTTGCAGAGCACTCTGGGGGCAGTGTGGCTGGGGCTTCTTCTCAACCCTCTCTGGAAGGGTGAGTAGGCGTCATCACCATTTGGTTTTGTAAAAGTGTATAAAATTGTTTTAAAATTTGGACTTATTTTTAATTGAAAAACAGAAAAGTCAGGTCTATTAGTCACTGTACCTAAGGGTCAATCAACAAGTCAAATAGCAGCATTCAAGTAACAGTCCTCTTTGTTTAATGCAGTTGCAGAAAGCAGGGACCAAGTGTCTCAGCCTTCCACAGTGGCATCTTCGGAGGGAGCTGTGGTGGAAATCTTCTGTAATCACTCTGTGTCCAATGCTTACAATTTCTTCTGGTACCTTCACTTCCCGGGACGTGAACCAAGACTCCTTGTTAAGGGCTCAAGGCCTTCTCAGCAGGGACGATACAACATGACCTATGAACGGTTCTCTTCATCACTGCTCATCCTCCAGGTGCAGGAGGCAGATGCTGCTGTTTACTACTGTGCTGTGGAGGACACAGAGGCAGGGAACCCATGAAGAGCTGAACAGAAACAGAGATCATGGCTTTTGCAGGAGGCAAAACAGAGACGAGCAATAACTTTTTCCTTCTGAATTCAGTGTTATCCAAGATTTTTCATTTGGTATTGCTATTAGAAAAAAAATTGAGTCCAGACACACTGTATATCAGTGAATGTCTATAAAAATATGCTTTCAAATTTTTTATTAATTTTCTCTTGAGAGAGGGTTTTGCTCTGTTACCCAAGCTGGAGTGCAGTGGCATGATCATAGCTCGTTTTAGCTTTGAACTCCTGGATTCAAGGGTAGCTGGAACTCAGCCTCCTGAGTAGCTGGGACTATAGGCACATGCCACCATGCCCAGTGAATTTCCCCCTTTTTGTAGTCATGAGTTCTCTCTCTGTTGTCCAGACTGGTTTCAAGCTCTTGGCTTCAAGTGATCCTCCTGCCTCAGCCTCCTGCCTCAGGATTACAGGTGTGAACCAACATACCTGGCCCAGAAAATATGGTTTAAAAGAGTGATTATTTCAAATAGTCATTTTGATACTTGAAACACTTTTGACTCACTTTTATGAGATCTGATTACATTATTTTTGTTTTTCCCTCATAAAATAGCTGATGATGACCTTGTGATAGTAGTAAGAGGCATGTCAACTCTTCCATCTTCTTTTCTTTTTTAAAAATTCAGACAGGCTGGAGTGCAGTGGCGTGATCATAGCTCACTGCGGCCTTTAACTCCTGGCCTCCAGTGATCCTCTGCCTTGACCTCCCAAAGCACTGGGATTATAGGTGTGAGCCACCAGGCCCATTCGACTCTTTCATTTTCTTATTGCTCTCTATGCTTACCTTTTAAATATTATCTGCTAGCTTCAGTCTCTTTGCAGCGATATTTTCAAAACATGTATCTATTTTGTAAAGAATGGTTTAGTTAACACTCAGTAATGTAATAAGAAGTGAAAAGGGAATGAATGAGTGAGTTGCTGCTCCCAACAGCCCTGCATTTGGAACCTCAATCCTTGGCTCAGGATACTTTGCTTATAATCTAGCACACAGTCTCATTGAGGGTACCAGTCAGTGAGTATATGAAATATTAGTAAAGTGGAATCTCCTTCATAACATTTAAACTAAAAACAAATGCAAGTGGAAGTACTAATTTCTAGGTGAAAAGCTATTGTAGGGATCCTGAGACTGTAGATGGAGAGCAGAGCTGGAGAGCCCACCAAACAGGCCCACGTGAGTGCTGGGGAGCTGTCTGAGGTCTCTGAATTGGTCTGTTCTGTCAGCTGCTGGCTTTGTCTGCACTGATGGTAAGTTTTCTTGGGGGCAGTTTCTAGGCTTACCTGAACTCTTCAACTGTCTGAGGACCTCCTCCGAAGGGTATCTGTGTCTGCCACTGGCTCCATGAAATTTGAAGGGCTTGCCATGACTTGCTACTGTGTCCTATGTCCTCTGACTTCACTGCTACTTTTTTTCTTTGATGGGGCCATGAAAACCACCTAAGGTAATCTCCTGTACCTTCTGAAAAATCAGGGAGCCACAGAAAATGGGTGGTATTTGTAAGACTGTGTTACTGGCAAGGACTTCATGACCAAAACACCAAAAGCACTGGCAACAAAAGCCAAAATAGACAAATGGGACCTCATCAAACTCCACAACTTCTACACAGCAAAAGAAACAGTCATTAGAGTGAATCGGAAACCAACAGAATGGGAAAAAGTCTTTGCAGTTTACCCATCTGACAAAGGGCTGATATCCAGAATCTACAAAGAACTAAAACAGATTTACAAGAAAAAAACAAACAAGCCCATTCAAAAGTGGGCAAAGGATATGAACAGACACTTTACAAAAGAAGACATACATGAGGCCAACAAACATATGAAAAAATGCTCATTATCACTGGTCATTAGAGAAATGCAAATCAAAAGTACATTGAGATACCATCTCACGTCAGTTAGAATGGCAATCATTAAAAAATCTGGAGACAACAGATGCTGGAGAGGATGTGGAGAAATAGGAACACTTTTACACTGTTGGTGGGAATGTAAATTAGTTCAACCATTGTGGAAGACAGTGTGGCGATTCCTCAAGGCCTTAGAAATAGAAATTCCATTTGACCCAGCAATCCCATTACTGGGTATATATACAAAGGATTATAAATCGTTCTACATAGGGACACATGCACACAAATGTTCACTGCAGCACTGTTTACAATAGCAAAGACCTGGAGTCAACCCAAATGCCCATCGATAATAGACTGCACAGGGAAAATGTGGCACATATACACCATGGAATATTATGCAGCAATCAAAAACGATGAGTTTGTGTCGTTTGTAGGGACATGGATGAACCTGGAGAACATCATTCTCAGCAAACTGACACAAGAACAGAAAATGAAACACCGCATGTTCTCACTCATAGGCGAGTGTTGAACAATGAGAACACATGGACACAGGGAGGGGAGCACTACACATTGGTGTCTGTTGCGGGGAATAGGGGAGGGACAGTGGGGGGTGGGGAGTTGGGGATAGATAGCATGGGGAGAAATGCCAGATATAGGTGAAGGGGAGGAAGGCAGCAAATCACACTGCCACGTGTGTACCTATACAACTATCTTGCCTGTTCTTCACATGTACCCCAAAACCTAAAATGCAATAAAAAAACTGTGTTACTTTCATTTTCTTCCAAGGATTAGTGTTATCAATTGAATTACATTCCATGCCCTTTACCCGCCCCCCAAAAGGATGTTTTTTGGGGTAGGGGACATGGGTAAGTCCTAGCCCTGAGTACCTCAGAATGTAAACTTATTTGGAAATAGAATCTTTATAGTGGTGATACAATTAAAATGAAGTCATTAGGATGGGCCCTAAGCCAGTAATGACTGGCATCCTTACAAACAGTGGAGATTTGAACACAGAGACAGGCATGTATAGAGGGAAGACAATGTGAAGAGGCACAGGGAGAAAATATAACAAATGTAGTATTTAAAAAAAATTTGACATAGTGATCTTATTTTTAAAAAATCCATTACATAAAAACAATTGTGATATGGAACAATGTCATACATAGTCCACCAAAAATAATATGCACATATACCCCAGTACTTAAAGTATAACAAATATAGTGTTTTTTAGAAGCTTGAGAGAGCATGGATATAGTTAGGACAAGAACACGGGCAATAAACTGTGTAGGCAGATTGTAATTCAGATGTGAATTAAAACGTGGCAGATGCTTGTGTAGACACATAATGATCTCAAGGTCCAGTTTGCATTTATTTTCCCAGCGATACCTTCGAACTACATAAATCGCGTAGAAATTAGATGTAATCTCAGGAAAAGGTAGGAAAACGGATTTGACTGAGATTTGGTTTCTGATAGCTGGTAGAATACAGCTTTAAATAGAAGTTAAACATAGTTATGAAAAATGAAGGCTTTTTATTTTTTTCACCCTTCTTGAGCATCTATTTTTGTGTATTGAAATTATATCCCTTACATAAACACTTTGCATTCTTGGACATGTATGAAATGATGATAGGGATCATACTGCCTTAAACCACATGAGGGTAAGACACTCTCAATAGAACTCTCGTGGATGAATAGTATTCCCTTTGGACTCATTTTTGAACATCTGAACAATAAAACAGAAGATTTCAAAAATACACATCAACATCCACAAATTCATCTGTAACATCTTTTGCATAATCATTGTTCTAGTATTTAACTTAATTTTTCCATAATCTTCTACAGCCATTTTCTCTCCTGTTCTACATTCTTTTACCAGATTATCTCAAAATGTATCTCTGATTTTATTATTTCCTAAATAAAATGCTTCATGCTTTTTAATTTTATACATAAGAAACAGGAAAAACAGCAAATCTAAATAGAGGTAGCCTCTGCTTAGTAAAGCTGCCATATTATGACCCCAACGAAAGTTTTCTGCTTTACTCTCTGCTACCACATCCTCTATCTCTTTGGGTCACCAAATAAGTTTACTCTCTGTCCTTCAAGACCTATTGGCATTGTCTCCTGTATGAGTTGTATCAGATTATTTTCTCTGCTTGAAATGGCCTCTTTCTCCCTTTATTCAGATTCTAGCCCAACCCCTATAACTGAGGACCCTCTCCCTTGTCTGTGCTACTGTAGTACACTGATCCCCAAAGTGTTTGACTGTGAACTATGATCAGTAAAATATATGTTACTCCTCCAACATATGCGCATTTATATGCTCATAGATTATGATAGTGTGTGTAACAAACAAAAACAGACATTTGGAAAGTTTGAGATAAATATAATACTAAATCTTATGATTTTTTTCTTGCAGGCAGGGGGATCACCTTGTGTAGCACATCCCTGTCCCTTCTACAGGATGAACTAACTAGACTAACTTGGTCTTTAACTAGTTGACTAAATGTCTTAAACTTCATGAGACTCTTACTTTTCTGATTTGCAAGAAATATCTGCAATGATTTTTCCATTGATAAAATTCTTGCACATTTTACTTCATATTTTTAATAGTCTGTCCCCTGAGTAAGTGTTCATTTACCAAAATGGATGATAAGTTTCTTGAGGGCAAGGATTATGTCTTGTTCCTCTGTTTATTTCTCAATGCAAATGGTATCTTACATTTAACAGGTACTGAAAAGTGATTTGTGAGGATCAGCTGACTCATAGGGCTTTCTCCTGGAATTGTCAGGATGTCAAGGCTGTTCTTAAGTAAATCCCTGGATGAGAAATTTTCTCTGCAAAGGACAACCATTTGTGATGAATGAAGGGAAACAGAGCTCTTACTCATTTGCTTGGGGTCCAGCATATGAGATAACCTCTTACTACGTGGACTTCTGCTAGTTCTGTGTACTTATTTAAAGTTTCAATCATCTGACAATTATTTATTGGGTGACTATAATTTGCCAATCATATGGTTTTTTCTTTATTCCTATCTCTAAAACAAAACAAAACACTCATCCTCAGAGCTTCTCTCCAACAGAAAGACACCAAACTAAAAAGAAAACAGCATGACTCTCAGAGGTTCTAAAAGACAGTCTAGACCATCTTCCCATGGGATGCTTGATTTTCTTGGCAGTATCACATCAAAGGAAT